AATCCGATTGTGTCCTCACAATATAGTTATGTATGTTAAACTCCCGGCCAAAACGTGTTGTAGACACCGAAGTCAAAAAAGCTACATTCCTTTCCGATCTTCTTGACGCGGCTCGTGCTGAAAGCGAAGAGCGAGACCTAGAAAGTCGAGCAGAAGATGGAAATCTCGTTAGTACAGCTTTAATCGTTGACAGGAAAACATCAGCTAGACTAAAGTCATTTTGAATTCTGAATGTCTGTTATATGATCGAACCATCTTCAGGCTTCAGTGGCAGACATTCGAGGAATTCTAGTCGTCACCACCGCAAGTCTAAGCCTAAGAACTGGTCAACCTATCACTAACAACCTACAAGTATTGACACGATCATCACCAGTTTTAGATGACTTTTCTGGAGACTGTAGTACTTGGCGAGCTGATCAAGATGGGTTTACGATCGATATCGTTGGTGGTCTTCATTAGGTAAGCTATTCATTTGAGTTGATCAGAACATATTTATTGAGCCGGAGATATTAAAACCTAACTGATCTTTCTGCCGTATGTTGTTTGTAAACTAATTAGGCTCGCTTGCACGCAATATCTTTAAAACCGTCAAAAGGGGTAGGTATAACCCACAAACCAAATTATAGTTTCTCATATGCTTCGGCACAGCCAGTACGCTTTTTAAAATCCTTCAGGTTTCCAGATCACTCGATCTTGGCTCATACTATGTATTACCCTTATCATCATGTATTTGTTTTTTACGATACCCTGATCTTTGAGTGAAGGGAAAACTGTTGTGTTATTTATGACCAAACGTTTGCAAAGAAAAACTGTTAATAATTTTGGGATTTGATTTACTACGCCATCCACTGGAACCACTGATAAGTGAAGGATCAACAAAGACATTTTGATCAAACAATCTTCAAAAAAGACATCTTATTGAGCTAAGGGAAAAACAGCGCGAGATTTGCTTGCCAAACCTGAAGTTGGTGGGTAATACTTTAGGGCCCGTTTGGTAGCCACGGATTATCGTACACTACCGTAAAACTGTAATACATTATTGCCCTAAAATTACAGTAATGGCTGAAAACCATTTTGAAATGTAGTACAAGATTATTGTAACGTTTACAGCTGTATAGCGTTTGGTAAAATCAAACCCAAATCATCCAAACTTTGTACATACAGCTGTACATCGCCATCATCCATGTCAGATTACCTCTCTCCAACAGCGTCTATCGACAGTCTGGATTCGATGCTGAGCATTCGAACTGACGACCTTTTTGGATCAACCGAAAGAGAAGATGCTCTCCGAGCCGAATTAGAACATAATATCATCGCTGCTCGAGAAGTTCTCACCGCAGCACTAGCTCCCAACATCCCCTGCCGTACCTCTCGACTCAGAGGTAATGAGTATGCTAGAGAAGTGTTTGAGGGTAGTCCGGTCAGATTTCAAGAAGTCTGTCGCATGGACAAGACAACCTTCCTCTCGTTGATGGACATTCTGGATGTGTATCTCATGCCTTCGAAACACATCGATACTCGAGAGCAAGTGATGATGTTTCTTTACATCATCGGAAACCACGCTTCGAATCGAATGGCCGCTGAAAGATTCCAGCATTCGAAAGAAACCATCAGCCGCTACTTTCACAAAGTAACGGAAGCACTAGAGAAGGTCTCAGACCAGTTCATCAAACAACCTGGTCCCCAAACACCATGCCCACCCGAAATCCTCAATGATTCAAAGAGGTATCCTTTTTTTAAGGATTGTATCGGTGCCATCGATGGCACTCACATACAGGCTGTCGTTAAAACTTCCGATCAAGACCTGTGGCGTAATCGAAAAGGCTACATAAGCCAGAATGTATTAGCAGGTTGCTCATTCAACCTAATGTTCTCCTTTGTCCTCGCCGGTTTCAAAGGATCCGCTTGTGATGCCAAAGTACTGGAGGTAGCTCGGCAGCAAGGGAGATTTGTAGTTCCACCGAGTATGTAATCTCTCACTCATTTTGTTTTTGTACCAATGCTGATATTCATGCCTTTAAAGACAAATTCTATCTTGTCGACGCAGGCTATGCCAATGAGCCAGGATTCTTAGCTCCCTATTGTGGAACTCGATATCATCTGAAGGAATGGGCCCAAGGTAATGCTGGGCCCAAAGATTATAAAGAACTTTTTAATCTACGTCACTCCAGTCTTCGAAACGCAATCGAAAGAATATTTGGGGTCATTAAAAAAAGATTCGAAATGCTCACGAGTATGCACTCGTTCACAATTGAGTTTCAAGCAAGATTAGTGATAGCAATGTGTACTTTACACAACATAATTGTTAGGAAAGGTGGCGGGGATGCCTTCATGGAGGGTAATGATGGCGATGAAGATGAAGGCTGGCAGAATGAACCAGCGGCTGTCTATCAGGTGGCTTCAACTCATCTTCGAACACAGGCTGCTGATGCTCGAGATCAAATTGCTATGGACATGTGGCAGGCTTACATTGCTCATCCTCGCTATCGAGGCTAAAAACTCAAACTCAGAGCTCATCAAATAGTATAGAAAGTATCCTTTATTTTTAAACAAAAACTTTAACATCTCATATTTCATTTGGATCAAGTATTTAACCAGTAGGACATTTTGTACATACAATTCTTATACTAATGTAAAGCAACAACATATAATTGTAATTTGATAAAGTAATATGAAATAAAAATTGGATTTAATCCTAATAAATGAAAACCATCATTCATTTCCTTCATTCTCTTGATCATTTTCATTCTCTTGATCATTTTCATTTTCATTCTCTTGATCATTTTCATCCTCTTGTTCGTCTTCATTTCCCTTTTCTTTTCTCTTCTCTTTTCCCTTTCCCTTTTCTTTTTCATTGACAACATCATACCCAAGGCTCAGGGCGAGCCAGCTCCATCTCAACTTGACATCGGAATTGATGAATGTTCGACATTTGTCCTCGTGCTCGAAAAGAAGGATAGCTTCAGTGGCAGCTTTGGGATTATTGTAAAAGTGGTCCTTCCAGCCCTTGTTGAAGATCTCCATCGCTTCCGCTTGAGAAGGGATGGTGGTGAATCGATAGGATTGAGATTCTCGATCCAATCGAGCAGCAGTGATCAACATCGACTCCTTGGCAGCATCGTGATCAGCGATAGCCTTTGATCGTACCCTATCGCGATCGAGGGCTTCAGCCGCTTGATTCTTGAGCAATTCAGCTGAATTGTCCAAAGAACTTGCAAGCTTGGCCTTGGTGTTTGGTCTAACTCGAGGAGCCGGCTTCTTGTTGTAAGCACGAGGTTTCGGAGTCGCCGGAGTCGCAGTTTGAGTGATACTTTCATCTGAAGTGTCACCCGAGTGGTCACTGTAATGGCGAGTGTCGTCTAAGCCTAAATCCAAAAGGTAAATAAGACATAGCTTAGTTACAAGATCAATACAAATATATTAAAAAAACCTACCCTGCCTCTTTAATGGTGGAGGAAGACGATAAGCTTCATCGTCATCATCATCAGATAGCTCGGTCCGAGTTTCAACAGGTCGCTTTTTGACAGGTTCCTTTCCAGCAGGTTTGGGATCGACGGCAGGTGGCTTATTGACAGGTTTGGGATCGACGGCAGGTGGCTTAGCAACCGGTTCCTTTTCAGCCATGAGATCGATTTCAGGTGGATCGTCAGAAGGTAGCTCATCATCAGGTGGACTGATAGCTTGGTTAGTGATTGGTCTATTCGCAGTTTGAGTTCCTATAATCCCATTGGCGGTGGCGTTGACATCACCGAAGAGTTCGTTCATGAGGTCGTAGAGCGGGAAGGGCTTCTTCTCATAGGCAGAAGCACCTTTATGTTTCTACAGATTTTGAAAGTTGTCAGCAGTCAGTATGAATATATATTGACCATTGAGCATGTAAGAACTTACACTGCAATAATCGGGCCAAAACCCTGGCTGAGCAGTTACCATCTGAGTTTCCTCGTTCCAACCAGCGCCTGAAGCTCCTCTCAACGCATGGACTATGGCGTATTGGGACTTAACCTAAGTATTACAAGGTTGATGATCGGTCAGCATAGTTTTAAGAGAAAGAAATTGATTAAATGAGAAACTGACCGTTTGAAGATGGTTCTTGAGCTGTGGTTTCTTGAGTTTACACTTGAAGGTATCATTGAATTCTTTGACTACCGCAGTCCAAGCTTCCTTTTTGAATCCAGTAGCGGCTTTCTTTCCAGCAAGTTTTTGAAGGATGAGGGAGTTGATCAAGGCTCGGCTCTTTGCGTGAGTCCAATTGGGAGATTCGTTGGCTTCGTCATCAGCTTCGTCGACTTTGTCGGGTTTAGCTTTTGGCATGTTGTTGATTCGGTTCGAGTGGAATGAGGAAGTCAATCGAAGAAGTAAGAAGAAGTAAGAAGAATTAAGAAGAATCGAGTTGATTGGATTTGGAAAAGTTTGAAAGGAAGTCGAACGAAGAAGAAAGTTGAATAAAAAAAGAATTGAGTCGAATGGGATTTGGAGGAAGTCAAACGAAGACCAAAAAAAGAAGAAGGTGATCAAAAAAAAGGAAATGAGGTGAGTTGGAGTCGAAGGGAAAACGGGGTGAAGGGTAGAGTGAGGTACAGAGAAGGGTGAATTTTCGACAAGTTCCCTTCTCACGTACGGAATGAAATCAGATTATGGATTAAATAATGCCGAAAACGGGCATTATGAAATTACCATAGTATTTTGAGATTATCGTTCAATTAATACATTACGATAATCTTGAAATTTGGGCTACCAAACGGCCAAATTTGAAAACCGATTATTTACAGCGTTTGTAGAAATACAGCGG